TCCGTGTCTCCAACCCCGGATTGAGGATCGCCGCCGCCCCCGCCATCGCCTACGGAGCCGCCCCCGCTTTCAGCACCTACCACGGAGCCGTCGCCGCCCCCGCCTACAGCGCCTATCACGCTCCCGCTTTCAGCGCCTACCACGCTCCTGCCGTCGCCGCCCCCGCTGTCGGKGTTGCCTACTCTGCCGCCCCCGCCGTCGCTCACTTCAACTACGCCTCCGCTTACAGCAACTACGGTTGGTAAGCGTGAAGAAACCGTTTTTTTATTTATTGTTACATTTATTTATTTGTCTCAAAAATAAAAAATACTCAAATGAAAAAAATCGTGTTTTTTTTTAATTTTTCAAAAGGTAAAAGGGAAATAGACAAGTGACAAGAAATAGTTAAAAATCATCAATTTATTTATGAATATAAAATACTTAATTGTTACAAAAAATTACTAGTAAATCATGTTATCAGTATCAGAATGCCTGCAGAGATAACACCAATAACACCAACTTAAGAAAATTAAAACCCTTCCAAAGCCCCATCTTCACTTTTTACCTCAAATAACTCTGCGAAGCGCCGTAGCACCCCCCCATGCACCCCCCTGCGGGCTTTAGAAAAGAGTCGCTCCTCCTGGAGCCCCCGGACCCCAAACTCGTCCCGGACGAGCTGTCGTAGCGATCATCCAGCAAAGAACTCGTCGATCTGGACCTCCCGCCGCCGCAGCACCCGCCCCCGGAAGGCACTGCCAGATACGAAGAACTCCTGGAGGCGTTGTAGGGCGTGTTGTAGGGCGTCTTCATCGAGACATTTATCGACGAATCGCCAATCCTAGTGGAGCTGAGCGGCATGGGGGTGGGCGACTTCAGCGAAATCATGGAACTTTGGGGCGCATTCTGGATGGCGAGGCTGAGGTCAGAGCGCGACTTGCGGACCGGGGGGTACTCTTCGGGGCTGCTGTACGTGATTTTTCTGCGGACGTGGTACTCATCCACTGTCATGGTGGCCCCGGGGGAGGGACACCCACAACGACGGAAACCCGAACTGCTTGACATTTTCGCTGGGACTGAGGGCAGCGAAAATAGGAAGGTTGCGATTAGATAGTTTTTTGCAGGTGATTTGCGAAAAGGTTTTTTGGGGCTTCGGCGGCAGGCAACCAGCAATACACCCGAATTTCTGGTTTAAACAAAAATTAAAAGGATGTAGATGGTGAGATGCTTGGATTATTGCCTAAATTGTTTAATTTTATAAAAAAAAGCGTTAATTCAGTGTCGACAAAGATTTTTTGTTTACTTTAATATTATGTTTTTATGCAACCAACTATACACCAGTTGAAATGAAAATTGTTCAACAATAGTTGTGAGGCGTGAAAATCAGACAGTGGGAACTGATTTAGATTTTTATTAAATACAGGAGAGTACATGGAAAACACCAAATATAAATAATTTTCGGTGACAAATTAAAGTACACTTGAGTGCAAAAAAAACGCAAATTGATTTTTGACGTTGTTTTTGTCACAATTCACAATTTCATAATTATCAGGCATCTTCCAAATTTTTTTCCATGTTTTTTCATTTCGTTTTCAACACTGACTATGACACTGCACTAACAAGACCACCATTTCTTTTGATAGTTTTGTAACCTTTTTGGGAACAATCTTTTCACACTATGTGAATCTCTGAATAACTTGACAAACTTGTTTTTGGTAATTTGCCCTTTTTTTTGCACTCAAGTGTACCGTTTTAAGTTTTTTTTGAACTTTAACGGCAGGCAATAAACCCAAATTTCTGATTCAAACAAAAATTAAAAAGATGTAGACGGTAAAATGCTTTATAACATTGGATTATTGCCTAGGTTGTTTAACTTCATAAAAAAGCGTCAATTCAGTGTCGCCAACAATTTTGTGTTCACTTCTGTATTATGTGGTTATGCAACCAACTATACACCAGTTGAAATGATAATTATTGCTCATTTTTTTATCAATGATTATGAGCGAATATGGTGTGAGGCGTGAAAATAAGACTCTGGGAACTGGTTTAGGTTTTTATTAAATACAGGGGAGTGCATGGAAAACACCAAATATAAATAATTTCCGGTGACAAGTTAAAGTACCGTTTTAAGTTTTTTTAGAAAATCAGTCAATAAATGTTTAAACCGAATAAAGATCGAGTTCGTTTTTGTATTTTGGGGCAGGTTTGGCAAAGGGTGACAGCCAGAGAATGGAGAACCTGCCAAAAACGGCTTGGATACTTTTCCATCTGGATTTTTTAACCCATCTAGCTTGCTCCTTTTTCAACTGTTCAATTCCAGTCTCGTCGTTCCATATTGCTTGTACTTGGGTACCCAGCATAACAGCTGTGAAAATAGCAAAAAGTAGAGCTTCAAAAATTAAGAATAGCAACAAAACGACAGTTGCTGGAGGCGAATAAGTTGTACATTCTTTCCACTCGTGTCTGATGCACATCAGAAATTGGTTGATTGCTAAGAAGAGAGAATGTAGCGAAAGTACGGCGATATAAAACTGAAAACTGCAATTTAATAAAACTGAACACGAGAAAATTGTGAAAACTCACTGTAAATAATACAAAATATTTTTGATTGTTCTCACCAACGCAATTATTGACCCATGGACAATGATGGTCCATTTTTCTTATACAACTGAAAATCATCTCATATTAAGTGTAAAATGAGGTGTGAATTTACCGTTGACACACTGAGCAGTGGTGGGCCCTGTCGGGCTTAATACTGCAACATTTTGGGCACTTAAATATCACCTGTCCCTCCCTGTACCCCATCTGCTTGATCATCTCCTTCGTGGCGTTTCCTTTTGGCACTGCACCCTTCAAAACATCATTTTATTCACAATTTAGTCAATGGGGGGCCTCACCGGGTCTGTGAACATGGTCTTCAGATGCGACGAAAACGCCAAAAAGGCGCAAAATTGAAAAATAACGACATTGACGACACTATAAAAAGGATACGGGCTTGGAATGAGTATGACAGACATCACGACGAACTCCGCATACAAAATAAGTAGCCACGTTAAAATTGCACAAATTATACCACAGATATCGCGGATGCACCATAGCATTCCGCCACAACATCGATTATGAAAGTCAATTTCTTTGCGAAACGACGTGTATTCATATTCCATCATGGTCAAGGGGGCACTAACGTTCTTTTGAGGTTAGGATTGTCAATTGCGTGTGACATTGTGTGCCAAAACGCATTTTTGCACAAAAGGGGCCGGGGACGTGTCACTCTTACATTTTTGTAGAGAAAACGGGTGAAAATAGCGAGCTGTGTGTGTGTGTGTGTGCAATGAATGACAGTTTTGACGTAAAAATGACAGCAAACATTGGGAAAATGACAGACCGGAGCGCTCCGGTGTCCCAAAATCCGGGTTTCACACTATTTTGCTCTAAACCAAATAGCGAAATAAATACTAAGTTTTTCATTATTTTTTATCTCTGTTATCACGTTCAAGTGGCGTCACGTCTACACTACACCAATTATTATTTGGAAAAGTTATGAAATATCGATTATTTCCGTAAAACATGCTAAACTTGATTAAAAAAATCGAGATTATTTGCATTTTTACTGATTAGTGCATTCGATAACAGCTAATTATATTCCAATTTCAACGATGATTTTTAAAATGTCAGATATGTCGTGCCATTTCATTCTGTCTTCTGTCACTTTTCATAATGATTTTTTGGTATGAATTTAGAACCCAAATTTGGGTTCTAAATTTGTCAATGGGCCCCAGTTGTAACACAGATTTTTGTTTTATACAGTAATAAAATATTTGTGACCTATTTTACTTCAAAAAACACAGTTGCGACGTTGCCAGTGTGGCGACTGAAATGGCACGATCGTGCCATTTTAATTGCCATTTTGTCACTTTTATTATGTTTTTTTTCTGTGAAATAGCGGAGTATTTAGGCTTTAAATTTGTCAGTGGGCTGCAGTTGTTACACTTATTTTTGTTTTATATAGAAATCGAATATTTGCGACGTTGCCAGTGTGGCAGTTGAAATGGCACGGGGTGTAGTACTTATTAATTTTTTGTGGTAATTTAAAAAAAAATACACTCTGAGCACTTTAGAAATCCGAAAACTGCCTCGAAATATTGAAACGAGGAGCCGTTAACTTAAAAAAAACTAATTTCAATTACAAAAAAAATAAAAATTGGTACCGAAATTCCAGTAATTCAATAATTCATCGTAATTCCATTGTTTTCAGATTAATTCTTACAATTTCAAATTAATTCCTGTAACTCTATTTAATTTCCGCAATTCTAATTTAATTTTTGTAATTTTAATATCATTCATGTAATTCCAAATTAATTCCGATAGTTCTAAGGAATTCAACGTAATTTAGGTATTATCTCCGATAATTCCGAAAAAAATTTCAGTAATTCCAAAAACTTCCATCGCACTTCTTTTAATTCTAATAATTCCATCGTAATATAATTCGAATGTTTTCAATTTCATTTCTATAATTCTAAATTAATTCCAATAATTCCATCGTAATTCCAATGTTTTCAGATTAATTCCCATAATTCTACATTGATTCCAACTTAATTTTCGTAATTCTAATTTAATTCCCGTAATTCCAAAATAATTCCGGTAATTCCAAATTTATTCTTTGTTTTAAGAAGTTTAAGGTAATTTTGAAAAAAAATTATTTCATTGTTTTCAGCTTAATTCCTATAATTCCAAATTAATTCCTGTTATTTCAATATAATTTTCGTAATTCCAAAATACCTATTTCCGGTAATTCCATATTATTTCCGATTGTTCTAAGAAAATCAATGTAATTTTCAATAGAAATTATTTCCGAAAATTCAAAAAAAATCTTGTAATAATTGCAAAAAGAATTCCAGTATTTCATAAGTAATTTAAGAAAATTCCAAAAAAATATCGAAATTACAGTAAATCTAATAATCCATCGAAATTCCCCTGTTTTCAGATTGATTCCTAAATTTATTCCGATAGTTTTAAGAAATTCAACGTAATTTAAAAAAAAATATCTAAAAAGAATTCCAGTAATTCACAAAAATAAGTCTAGTAATTCTAAACAATCCAAGAATCATTTTAATAATTCCAAAAAATTCTAGTAATTTCAAAAAGAATTCAAATACCTAATTCCAGAAAAATTCCAACAATTTACAAATAATTCTAGTAATTCCAAAAAATTTCCTGTTCCTAATTCCTAATTCATATAATTCTAAATTAATTCTAATTAATTTCCGTTATTCCAAAATATTTTTTATAATATCAAATCTGTACCGAGAGTTTTAAGAAATTTAACGTAATTTAAAAAAAAATAATCCGATAATTCCAAAAAGAATTACAGTAATTCCAAAAAAATTCAAGTAAATCCAAAATAAATTTCAGTAGTTCTAGAAAACTTCCAGTAATTTACAAATAAATCCGGCAATTCCAGAAAAACACATCATTATTTTAGTAATTCCAATAATCCATCGTAATTTGATTGTTTTCAGATTAATTCCTATATTTCCAAATTAATTTCTGTAATTCCAACATAATTTTCGTAATTCCAAAATATTTCCTGTAATTCCAAATTGATACCGATAGCTCTAAGAAAATCAACGTCAATTTTAATAAAAATTATTTCCGATAATACCAAAAAAAATCTAATATTTGCAAAAAGAATTCCAATAAATTCACAAGTAATTAAAGAAAATTTCAAAAAAAATATCGAAATTCCAATACTTTTAAAAAATTCAACGTCATTTTGAAAAGAAATTATCTAAAAAGAATTCCAGTAATTCAAACAAATAATTCCAAAAAATTTGTACAATTAATTCCAGAATTAATGGCTCCTCCTCGTATTCAACAAAAACCTCTATTTTAAGAAAAAGTCACTTTATCGAGTTTCAGGTTTACTAAACGGTTCCGTTGCATTAAAAAGCAAATATTCGCTTTGTGTCAACACCAAATAATAACAGAAACCACCGTTTCCATTTTTTCTCAAACTAATTGCTTTATAACGCTGAAAATCGCACCAACTTGGTTCATTCAAAACACCATGCTCAAACCCCTCATATTCAATTTAATCATTTTATTTTACCCAACCTTCTCGACCAACAACCGCTCATCCAAATGTGAGTAGTAATCACGATAATTAATTTTCGAAAAATTGACCAAAATTCAGTTTTTGGTGTCGGTTTGGTCCGTTTCGAAAACAGCGTTTGCACTTCTGCTAGCAACAACCTCGGCACTTGCTACACCCGCTGGCAATGCCAGAACGTCGACGGCGTCGCTTCCGGCTCTTGTGCGCAAAACATCGGCGTCTGCTGCGTCAGTAAGTACCACTTACCGGCCCAACGTTTCGCTCAACTCAATTTTCAGTCACACGACAATGTGGTGAAACTACGAGGTATAACAACACGTATTTCAGTAATGACGAGTTTCCCAACCCTTCGACCGATGGCACCACTTGCACTTTGACCATACAGAAGTGCAACGACGATATTTGTCAAGTATAGTGAAAAATAGGGGTAGCTAAAGACTAGGATACGACACGATGTAAAACATAGTTCCGTTAGTGAGGCCAGATAGCGCAGTTTTAAGAGCATAAATTCTCAATATTAAGAGATAAAGGTAATGCAAAAATTTTATTGGAAACTATACAGGGTGTTCCATTTTTATTGTTACAAATTTAAACAGGAGATAGAATATTCAATTTTAAGATAAAAGTTTCCGATGAACATTCTTGAAAAATACTATTTAAGGGCGCTACACTCCCCAAAAAAGGGTGTATGTTTTAATGGATTTTGTGTAATATTTCAGAAACCATTTTAGATAAAAGTAAAAAATTTGGTATGTCGAAATTTTTAA